ATATCTTAGCTCAGCAGAATAGAAGCCCTGAGTCCAAATCTCAGAGAGATGAGGAGTCGCCTCCCTATTTAAAATCCACCTACTAAGCTCTTGCTGAAGACATATCTGAGTCTCTAACAGAACCACAGCCCGCTGCAAATTAGGTCATGCCTAACTCCAGAAATATCCACTTTTCTTTACCCCTTGCTTCTTCTTGACAATATTGTTCATTTATTCCCTTATTCATCCAACCATTCAAAAGCTATTTATTGAGGATTCACTATGTCCCAAACATTGTGCTAAGTCTACAGTGAAGGGAAGAAGACAGGCTAATGAACATATGCTTTAAAAATAAAGCTCTTATAGTTCAGGGACACATATTCATTTAGCATCTATTATTTATTATCTTAGGAGATATAAATATAGCTCATAAATATAGAGAGAGAGATAAAGATGCATCTCATACATATGTATAGATGTAGCTATACATATGCATATATGTCTATATATACATAAGTATGTATAATATATATACACACACAAATACATATGCACTTTTCTCATCAGACTATGAGATCCAAGAGAGAAGAGACTATGTCTGATTTATTAACCACGATTACTCATCCCATCTAGCTCAGTGCAAGTGCTGGGAGTCATACAAAACAAATTAGAGATGAAAACACAACATTCAAAGTCAGAGCTCACATGTTTTAGTCCTAACTCTGCAATTCACTAGAGGTCTAATACCAGACAAATCACAAGTCACTTACCCCCTCCAGGTCTATTTCCTCTGCAAGAAAAGGAGGTAATAGTTAAAAATACTAGAACTTTCTCACGCTGTTCTAAAGAACACCAAATATGATGGATGTGAAGCACTTTGTAAAACACTATCCAGATTTCAGGATCATGTCATTTTTCTGCTGTGAATTTTTATCTGGGCTCTTCCATTTAAATGATGGTGACAGGGCGTCCCTGGTGGCGCAAGGGGTTAAGCACAGCACTATGAAGCTATCCTCAGCCTCTGCAGCACAGAGTTTGATCCCCAGCTGGCCAGGGAGCTACCCACATGGTACAGCAGACCTCTGCTGCCTCGCCCGCTGCTCCCCTCAGCAGTGTATTTCAGTAGATCCGCCTGTTCAGCTCCCCACTCTGTCTCTGGTGAATCCTCTCACTCCACCCTGCACACCTCTGGCCTACACCCCAGTTCTTGTATGCATAAGTAATCTTTTAAAAAAATAAAAATAAAAAATAAATGATGATGGCATAAACTTGGGTCAGTGATCCAACCCCTAGAAGGCTTTACTTCCATATCTGTAATATAGGAAACATATATCTAACTCACAGGATGGTTGTAAGAATTCAATGAAACCACATATGTCACGCGGCTAGCACCACACACAGCACCCAGCCGTCCCTCCAAAATATTTTACTGTCCACTGTTGTACCCTCTGACCAAAGTGAACATTAACAGAAACCTTCCTGCATCTCAAACAGCACCCAAGTGTACAACAGAAGTTCAAGAAATATTAACTCTTCTTAATAATGCTGCTAATGATAATGATGGTGATAATGACCAATGACTATTGGTGAAGATGACTTAATGTCACCTAGTGCCCAGCAAACCCAATTTTTAAATCTGCATGTGCCCCCTCTCCTTTATGACATGTGGGGTGAATATGGGAGGAGGCCTCCAGTCTGGCAGAGGCCCCTTTAAAAATGTACCCGGGCTCCTCCTCTGCCAACCAAATTGCTAAAAATACTACAGCAAAAGCTGAAATATTTGCAGAGAAAACTGAATTTCCTGCCATTCTCACCCCCTCCACTCAAATGGGTAAAAGTCTGACCTAAGAAACCCCCAGATCAGCTCCACCAAAGGCACAGGCCTCCTACTTCCCACCCCATTCTTATCATGGAGTCCCTCCGTGGGCTTTAGCTGGAATGTTATGTTCAGAAAGTACCCACTCCAAGGAGGGAATGCCACAAGTCTTGGCAGAGTGACTGCCATGTGCCTTGGCTTTTCTCTCTGCTTAGGAGGGCCACTTCTCGCTCAGTGCCCCTCCATCTGTCCACAAGAAGGCTGTGCATTGGACTGCAGAAGCGTCCCACGAATGTGCCTCTCATCCTCTCTCTCCTTTAACCATGTCCCCCTCTGCTGCCCAACTTTCTCCTCCGTGTCCCTTCACCTTTGTGCTCCCTGCTGAATCCACCACACCCACCAGAGCCAGCTCCCTCTCTAACCCAGCCCTCCCGGAGCTCATCTCCTTTCCAAACCTGCAGCCGTTCAATAGCTAGGGGGCTAGCAAAGATAGCGGAGAATGTTTGAAATTCCAAGAGTCAAGGAGAACAACCACAGGGTCCAAACCCAGCTAGACAGAAGCCAGATAGAAGGTGATACTCCAAACGCTGCCTGTGGCATACAGGCCCTGGGTCAGGGAGTCTCCCCTGGGGAAGGCCTCTGGCCCTCTCCTGCCAGGATCCAGAGCCTCTCAGAGTGAGGCAGCTTCTCCTTGAGGCAGACCCATTCCACACTGCCTTGTCCCTCTCCTGTTGGAAAATCAGACTCGGACTTCTAGCCAGACTATGCCGGGGCCACCAGAAGACAAACCCCTTACCAGGGGAAGTATGTGTCCTCCATGCAGGGCGGTGAAGGGCTCCACTTCTGTGGATGTCTTTGACATCGGGGGCAGCGGTGAGCCTACAACTTGTGTCCTTGTGGGTGTGTGGACAGTGGTCTATGGGTGTGCGTCACTCCAACGAGGCCATCTCACCGCTGCTCCTGCCTCTGGATATTTGAGTGTGTGAGTGTCTGGCTATGGCTCCAATCTGCCTTCCTCTCGGTTTACCTTTTCCTCACCCTGAGGCTGCCCATCCCCCAGGGCAAACACTGTGGCCAGTGCTGCGTAGGTGTCTCAAGTGGGCTGCTGCTGAAATGGTTGTTTTGTGGATGGGAGTGACAGGTGCCATATCTGTTCTCCCATGGGTCTGCCAGTGTTCAGAGACATCCTCACCCCACACAAAGGTGTCTTTTAGGAAGAGGGAAAGGCTGTGCTGCCTGTGTGGGAGTTGGGGGGGTTGTGTTGTAAAGATACCCCCCCCCTCAGCTCTGACCAACAGGAAGAAGGGCCCAGAGGCAGCGCAGCCTGCAGAGGGATGTTGCCTAGCAACTTGGGAGACTTTACTGCAAACTCACTAAATCCCAGATTCCTCAGCTCTAATTTGGGAAGAGAAAAGCACAGAGTCTAGGCCTCATCTCCACGGTGCCCCCAACTGCCTCCTTCCCTCTCTCCTCTGGATTCTGGCATTGAAGTCCAATGGAAACTGGCACAGATGTGCCCATCATTCAGGCAAGGGCCTAGTTCCCAGGACATCCTGCCATTTGGTGGAGGTAGGGGGATGGAGGATGTGCCAAAGACAGATTGGGGAACAGATTTTCAGTTACAAGGGTGGGTGGGTCCCAAACATGCTGGGAAAGATACCCCTACACCCCAAGCCCTGGAATCCCAGCCAGCTTCCAGCTCATCCTTGGGGGCCCAAGCTGGCTTACCCTCTCCCCAGTATGGGTGGCCACTGGAATTTCCCTCCCACTCATTTTCTCTTTAGCAAGCAAAGCTGGTGGCAGGAAGCTTCAGGTAGGAAGGAAGCACCTAAGAGCCATCTGTGACTGACCAGCAATGGTGGGCTCACTGCAGCGCTATCTCAGGACCCCTGGCCCAACAGGGGCCACAGGCCATTCCCCCTCCTCACTCTGCTGCAGTCAACAGGCCTAAGCAGCAGCCATCTTTCCTCCTCCCCTCCTGGAAAGACTATCTAGTCTCTTAGACAGGGTCCTCCCTACCCACACAACATGCCACACTGCCAGCTCTAGTACTCTGAGAAGTTGGGGAGTTTGGCCACCACAAAAGTGTCAAGCTCCTTCTCCTGATGCTGCTGCTGTATCTCCCCCTCACAGCCTTTCCCAAAACCCACATCCTTCCTCCATCCTGGACCCAAAGAGCTCATGATTTCTGGTATTTCCCTGTATTAGGTTTTAGGGTATTTTGTTCCTCCCAGGGATAAGGGTAAGAGTGGCCAGTTTTTGTCTTATTCTGATGCAGTAGACCAAGAGGTTAGAGAGTCTGCTATGGGGAGTGTCCATATGTAAAAACATACCAAATGGGTGTTGTGCATATGATTTTGTCTGTTTGATGCAGAGCTGGTAGATAATGATGATGACAAATACACAGATAGATAACAGAATAAATACATAACAGATCTATATTAGGGATATATATGTATATAATATATATAAATAGGGATGCAGACATTTCAGTAAGGAATTGCATGAACACATTAGTGTGTACACGTGTGCGTGCACAAAACTGCTTCTGCACGTATCTGCATCCCGTGTGTACAAGGTCTGCGTAGTTATTTTTGCAGGTTGTGTCTGTTGTGTCTGAATATTGAAGACGTGAGCGTTTGGGTGTCATCTATGGACACGTGGGGCTGGTGAGCTCCGTGTTTATGTGTGCCCACCACCGGGTTGTGTACCGACAGTTTTCTCCGCTCTGGAGCAGAGTGATGATGGGACTCTTTTACTGCACGTCTTAGGGGGGGTTTTCTTTGCGAACTGAGGGGGAGGGAATTTAGAAGGAGCCATATTTGGGACTCTCGCTAGCTTGTGGAATTGTGGGGAAGTAAGGGATGCGTGCTCTTTTATCTATGGGTGGGGATGCTGCTGTGCCCAGATGTGCCTGTGTTTGGACCCGGGATGTCGGGGGCCTCCTTCTGCCCGCGCCGGCTACATCTGCCTGGCAGTCTGCCGCCTCAGTAAGCAACCGGGTTGAGTTCGGGAGGATGGGCAGTGTAGGAGGAATGGATGGAAGTGTGTAGGCGGATGGGTGGGGGCAGGAGGAGGAGCCAGGCGGGAGGGCCGAGAGGGGGAGTGGTCCTCCCTCCGATCTCCCCGCCCAACCTGCAGAAAGAGTCCCCTGATTGGCTTCGCGACCGCAGGATTCAGGTTACATTCGCGAGCCGAGCGGAGCGCGGGAGAGAGGACCCGAGCGCAGAGCTGCAGGTTCGGCACGGGTCGGCGGGCGCCCCACAGCCCCAGAGTACCCACCCAGCACCACACAGACCCCACCCCCGCCCTGCGCCTGCCTCCGTCCCAGCCAAGGACCCCCAACACCAGCATGGACTGCTGCACCGTAAGTTAGAGGGCCTTGGGGGACGGGCACTCAGCCAGGGCCAGGGGGCTCCCGAGAAATCCCTGGAGGGCAAGTGAGTCGTGGAAGTGGGTACAGAAGACCTTGGAGCAATAAGGGGTGCCTGCTGAGCCGTGGGTGGTGGGTGGCGAAAGGCGCCCGCCTGACTTGGAAGCCCAAAGAAAAATGCTCCCCAACTGGCGGGGGCGTCTGGGCGCTTTTCCGCCTGGCAGTCTAGATTGGACTGGGAGCTGGGCAGGGCTCTGCAGCCGCGAAGCTGCAGGTGAGACTAGAAGAGGAACTTTCCCCAGACACGCTGGAAAACATTGAGGAGCGCAACTGCTTTCCCCTGCTTTTCTGCCTCTACCCCATTCCGCAACCCACTGCTGCTGCCGTCGGTGGGAGGACAGGATGATCCTCGTGACCCTTGCACGGGGTGGGATAGGCGATTCGGATGGGTGAGATTAGTAGTGATGCGGGCAGCAAAAAGCCTAGTCAGTGTGGTTCTGGGGAGGGTTCGGCCCGGCCCCCACGCCTTCTCGCCCCAGCGGGGGCTGGGTGAAGTGACCGCGAGGGGGCCCTGCTGGCGAGGGAAGGAAGTGTCTGCAATTTGTCAGCGCCCACACGGAGACCTGGATGCTGCAAGTGCCTAATGGCAAAGTGGGTAGTTGTTAAGGTGACTCGAGTATGAAAGCGCCTGGCACAGAGTACAGCGATCATACATATATAAAATGCATTTGCTTATTTCTTTTGTTTTTAGCCCCTACATATGGAAAGTCCTTGTATTCTCAGACATTCACTCAGCCCAGCTACTGATACAGTGGGGGTACTTGTTTTGCTTGCTCCCCACCCTCCACCTCATGGCTTACAAAAGGAAAAAAATGAGAGGTTTGGAAGGAAAGGTTATCCCAGTTTAGAGGAGGTGAGACTTCCTATGTCTGGGTACCAAGAGGCAGAAAGAACTCAAGACAAGTTGTGGTTGTTATGATGTAACGCTTATTAGTGTCAGTAATAGTTGTCAGTTTGCGAATGCTATCATGTACCTGCAGTTTACATTTAATCATCGTCACGGGGTAAAGTTGTTATTATTTCCCCCATTTTACAGATGTGCAAACTGAGGTTTAGGAAAATTAAATGACCTGCCCAAGGAGACATGACTTCTCCATGTGGAGGATTCAGACATCGCCTTGTCTGATTCAAATAGCTGTAGTTTAACCTCTCCGCTAAATGCTATCCACCCCCCTACTGTAAAGGTAATAAATTCATAATATAAAATGTAAAAAAACTAAACAGAAGTACAAGAAAGAAACATGTCACTCATCCATAATCCCACCCCCTGGAGAAAGCCCCAATGACATATCCCCTCCCAGTCTTTTCCCTCTGCTATTCTCCGGGAAGCAGTTTTTGGTTGTAATGGGAGAAATGGACTCTTACTAAAGATTCCTGGGCTCCACTGAGAAAGAGTTCCAGCAGCCCCCCAGCAGGTTTTATAAAGTGGAGAAAATAAATGGATAGTGGGTTCTGGATATTGGTGGGGGGTAGGGTGAAGGGATGGTAAGAATGAAGGGGAAGGAAAGGCAGGTGAATGGGGAGTCGAAAGAGCGCAAAAACCCAAGAAGCCAAGCAAAGGAGGTAGCGCCTCTGTGCTGGTGCCTGCAGGAGCAAGTAGGGTAGGCTGCTGCATCTCTGCATATAGCCCGTGGTCTGCCCTGGACCCTGCTCGAGTCCCCAGGAAGCCATACGGAGGAACTGGTAGGCATGATGTTGGAATGAATGTCCCCTAAAAACTGAAGAAGCTACCTCCCAGACAATACAGAGGAGGCAAATATACCATTATCCCAGTAGCCCCAGACCCTAGGGTGCCTCCTCCAGCGCAGTCTGTACCCAGGAGCCTTCCGCCCCTTCAGGATGAAGGTGCAGGAGACAGCACCATTGCCACACAGCGCAGGGGACAAGAAGAGGGAGAAGCGGTGACAGGGGCAGAGGGTCGAGGCAGGTGAGGACTGGAGCTGAGCATCTTCTTACTCCATTCTGTGGAGAGCTGGGTTCAGGGCTGGAAGGGAGCAGGGATGTGTAGAGAGACCATAGAGGCTTGGGGGGTGGGGGTGGGGGCTAACCACAGGCCCCTCTTCATCTTTTGTTTGGGGGCTTTCCTTGCTCACTAGCAGATCTGGTGTTTCAAAAAAAATGCCTAGCATTTCCTTCTTTCCCCTTAGTGAAGAGATTCAAACAGAAAGGAGAAGAAAACAGATCTGCTTTATTTTTTTTAAGGAGACAGAACTGTTGATTCACATGTTCCAGTTGCTGATTTGCATAGCCACATATATCTGACTTCCCTGCATTCACTTATGAAAAGACCAAGAAACATTATTTTGGATCCTACATTTAGTTGACTTGGTCCAGCTGAATTCACAGAATTAATCACCTGCCCAGAGGCAGTGCTCAATAGGCCAGGCTTTCTGAATTCCCTCACTGTTGTCCGCTGTCTAACCTTGTATAATTGGCAAAATATCTCTGAGGCAGTTCCTTGACCTTTCAAATAGGGATTAAATAAGGCAATGGGTGCAAAGCACTTAGCACAGAGCTGGCACATAAGGAATCATACTTAAAGCTAAGAAGATTTGGGAGCTGAAGGAAACTTTATTCATCTTAGGCCAACATCTAGTTGCCGCTGAAGAAACTGAGACCCTCAGAGTTGAAGTATGTGCCCAGTTGGGACCAGAAGCCATGGCTTCTGCTTTGCAAACCAGAGCACGTTCTACCAACCCTCACCCCCCCCACCCCCTAATTCATGGGCAATTGCAGGGATAAAATGTCAAATCTTGACTTCAGAAGGCACCAACCCAGCTGCCATGACCCTTCTGCCTGTGGACAGTCCACTCAGCAGCTCTGCCCTGAGATTTCAGCTGGAGGGAGGGGGAGCTCGCTCTGGGGAGGAGCATGTCGGGGGTGGCTTTGCCTGTTGTTCCAGGTTTCCATTCTGGATCCAGCTGGGGTGGGTGGTGACAGCAAGTTGGTCTTAGCAAGGTTGGAGGAAGATACCCCTTCCTCCGCTCAGCCTCCCCCAGCTGCAGTGGAGAGGTGGGTCAGGAATTTTTTTTTTTTTTGATCATTGACCTTTTTTTTTTTTAAGATTTATTTATTTATTCAAGAACTAGGGTACAGGTCAGAAGCGTGGGAGGGTGAGAGAATTCACCAGAGACAGAGCAGGGAGCAGAACAGGCAGATGGACCGAAGACACTGGTGAGGGGAGCAGCGGGCAAAACAGTAGAGGTCTGTCCCACCATTGGGGTTCTCCCTGGCTGGCGGGGAATCCAACCAGCGCTGCAGAGGCTGTGGACAGCTTCGCAGCGCGGCACTCAACCGCTGTACTACCGGAGAGGCCCGATTATTGACTTTTTTTGAGGAGAAGCCTCACTGTTCCCTGAAAATGTCCCAAGAAAGGCTTGAGCTCTGAGAATCCAGGAACCCTAAAGAGTTGTTTCTGATTATAGGTGTGGAACAGATGACAGGGAGGGAGCACTAGACCTAGGAAAGAAAAAAGTGTATGGGTCCAGCCACAACCACATTACCTCTTGATAAAACCTTCTAACTGAATTTAAATCAACTGTGACATCCTAAGCACACGCCATGAACTTTGAAGCTGAAGAAATGAAGACTGCAACAGGAGGCGTGATGAGGGGAAGACATTCATAACCCTGTGCTCCTGGGCAGAACCTGGTTGGGGTAGTGATCACTGAGGCCCACTCACCTATCCCACTTTTGCGAACTGGAGGACTGAAAGCAGAGAGAGGAAATTCAGGAAACTGAATTACGGTTTCTATGTGAAGCCCTGGTCATCTCAAGCCATGAAGCAAAACACAGCAAAAGTGGTAGAAGTCCTCAGGCAAAAAAAAAAAAAGGGGGGGGTGGGGGTGGGGGTTTGCCAAACTCCTAGAAGTCAGAGAGTCAAATCAAAGGAGAAATACCCTACTCATCCATACTAGCCATCCACATCCCAACTCACATTAATGCTGTAATATTAAAGGGGTTCAGAGGCTGAGCCCTTTCCATTCCAGCCTTACTTCTGAAATCAACACCATCAACTCCCTAACTCTTTCGACTCTCAGCAAGGGCAGAATCCTGGGGCATACAGGTGGGTCTGATTATTATTAGCTTGGACCATATGAAATTGTTTTTATATGGCCACTTATGACCTACAAGAACAGGTATTTCAGATTAACTTGTTATATAAAAGGCTCATAACAATAACTTCCATTAGTTGAATAACTCGATTATGTCCAAAACTTTCTACATATCTCTTGACAATGCTTTTCCATAATCCATAGAGGTAGATATTTGTCACCTTGATTTCAAGTGAAAGAGCTGAGATAGGGGAAAATCAGATAACTCACCCAAGACCACATAGTTAGCAAGTGACAGAGCCTTGGATCAATTCTTGAGTGTCGTTTCTTATCCTACAGAGTAGGGGTCAAGAATATATTCTGGACTTGACATATAAGGGTTTCCATCTCAGATTCATTGTATGTTCACGGTATCACCCCGAGTAGGTTGTTAAACACTGTAATCAGTTTTATATGGTATAAACTAGTTTAAGAGTAAAAGGTACGTCATAGTTTTGTTGCCAGAACTAAAGAAAATAATGTCTGTGGAACACTGAGTTTCTGTGTCTGGCACACAAGAAGTACTCACATGGTAGCTATTGTCATAATTCCTTTCTTTCTCAGCAGCACATCACAGAAAGGGCTTCTTGCTCCTGTTTATCTTTGTCCTTTTTTGGAGTGAAGGCTTTTCCCTGTGGTTTATTCTAGACTATCTCTCTTCCGTGCTTGAGTACATCCTGGGGAGCAGTGGAAAATGGAAAGTCAGTGAGGAAACCGCCTCTGTGCCCTACCCCTACCTGGAGAGAGGCTGGTCACTGAGGGGCAGACCTAGCCTCACCCTAATTCCAGCATTCAGCTCTGATGTGATTTTACTCAGGGAAGGCCTTGTCCTGCTGATTCTTCTCCACCCTCTCCCAGGGAATTCTGGATTCAGAAGGATGAGCTGGAGGCATCTTTTGGAGCCTGGGGGAAGGGCAGGCTGCAAGCAGGAGTCCCAGCTGCTGTTTACTTTGCTCCTCCAAACCCACTTTGTAGTCAGCTCTGAAGCGCCCCTAACTCCACTGAGAGAGATGGGTGTTTCTCTCACTCAGGGCTGTCTGGCTGGCCAGTAATCCATCTCACTGCCCACTTCTCTTACCTGTGTCCACCTAGTTCTAAACTTTACTTCCTCTGTCTTCCACTGCGGAGGGTTCTCTCTCTGTCTCTCTGTCTCTCTCTTACACACACACACACCCCCCCATACCTACCCATCTGCACACTTCTCGCTCCTGTGTCGCCCTGGTCTCAATCTCTGGTCTCACCCTCGCGGGGTCTCCCCCAGTCACTCCACAAGTACCCCCTGCCCTGCCCCCAGGAAAGCGCCTGCTCCAAGCCGGACGATGACATTCTAGACATCCCGCTGGACGATCCCGGTGCCAACGCGGCCGCTGCCAAAATCCAGGCGAGTTTCCGGGGCCACATGGCACGGAAGAAGATAAAGAGCGGAGAGCGCGGCCGGAAGGGCCCGGGCCCGGGGGACCGGGCGGAGCTGGGGGCGCCCGGGGAGGCGCGGGCGGCGGCCCCAGCGGAGACTAGGCCAGGTGAGGGGAGCGGGCGCGGCGGGCGGCAGGCTCGCCCTCCCTTGACCTGGGACCTGCGGAGAGCGGTCCCCGCTCCTCCTCCCAAGGAGCAGGGAAAATTAAGGCCGGACTGTGGGGGTGGAAGGGCGGAGGGAGGGGTGGTAAGGTGTGCAAGGTGGGGGGAGGGCGAGGGACTAGAAATCTAAAGGGTAAGGTGGGTGGGTGGGTGGGGGAGGCTGCTGGGTGCAGGGATCCGAGAGTTCACCTGTTTCTCCTTCCACCCTCCCTCTGCACCGCGCTGGACCAAAGAACTGAGCATTTTCGAAGGTAAAGACTACGATTCCGAAGCGGCTGGGTGGGAGCCGGGGGTGGGAGGAAGGGACCTTCCCCAGCCTTTCCCTCTGGCCGCCCTCACCCCCTCCCAGCGGGGGTAAAATGCACCCTGCGCCTGCGGATTTTCTGAAGCCTCGGAGCGCCCGAGGCTGCGAGCGGGACACACCTGTATCCACTCAGGCGCGCACTCACCCTCGCTTGGCTGCGCCAGCTCAGCCCGGGGCCATAAACTCAGGGCGACTCGCAGCAGGTTCATTTCACTTCAGAGGTTCGGGGTGGAGGGGGGTGGTTCTAGGTGACTGGGGTCCCCAGTCCACCCCGCCCTGGCGTTCTGGGGAGCTCAGGCTTTCTCTCTCCTCAGTTCCCTAGGAGAGATGGATGCCGCGTCCCCTTCGCAGTGACGAGACTTCCCTGCCGTGTTTGTGACCCCTCCTTCCCACCAACCTGCCAGCTTCAGGAGCCCTCCCTGCGTCCCAGGCGGTCTCCGTCGAGGAGTCGCTCAATACGCGCCCTTTTAGTTAGTTCTCCAATCTAGTATGGTTCCCACTCGCCCTTCCTCCCCACCCAGGCCCCAAACTCCGCGCTCCCGAGCCTTCCTCTCGCTTCTCTCGCCCACCTTCCCCGCATCCAGCATGCAGCTCTGCCTCCGCAGCCTCGGTGCGCCCCGCTGCGCGCTCTGCGGAGGGCGCCCTAAGCCTCGCCCAAGTACAATCTTTTATTTATTTTTCTAAATTCCTTTCGTTCTGTGCGCAGTTAAAGAGGGCGCCCTGAGTCTCTGTGCTGTTTCCGACCCGGCCAGCCCCAGAATTTTGGACCTGGGGCGAGGCGAGAGGGGAAGAGGGTTTTTAAGGCGTCGGGTACCCCTTGCTCTGACCGGAAGGAAAGTCCCGGTTTCATCCCCTGACCTACCCCACGCCTGCCTGGAATCTACCCTCCCTCTCCCCAGCGCACCCCGAGAGCCGCCTCTCCAGCTCTCTACCAGTTTATGCAAACGCCGAGCGCCTGGGAAGCTCGGTGGGAGGAGTCTGCCGAGGCCCCGCCCCTGCCCTGCTGGTCCTGTCCCCCCGCTGGGCTCCTGGGGCCGTGGCCGGAAGGTTTTTATCTCCGTGTGTGCATGTGACCGTGCTGGGTTGGAATGTGAACAATAAAGAGGAATGTCCTAGTGTGCAGAGGGTTTCAGAGGGGAGGGAGTTTGGGTGCACAAGACCATCGTTTAAAGATTAAACAAGTCTCCTTTGACCAAACCAAAAAGTGCAAGTGGGGAGGGGGGAAATGAAGGGAAATCTTAATTAAAACCCACGCTTTGGAGTTAAGCCAACCTTCCACCTACGGTATGGCATCACCTCTTGGACATCTATCCTGGTCCCTTGGTAACACCGAATCGCCTGGAAGAATTTGCTATAGAAGAAAGAAGAGGGAGACCATGTGGTACTCGAAGGCTTTATTTCTTGACATCCCCCCTCAGGGATGGGGAGAGAAATCAGACAACCATGGGGAGCTTGGACTTGGTGGTCGACACAGTGCTGGCAGAGGGAGGCCTCTCCAGGAGTCCATTGCTACAATCACCCCTCATAGAAGTTTGCTCAGAAATCCCAGGAGAAATGGCATCCTCCCTGATGGATATAGGCAAATTCTCAGTGATGGCTGGGAGCACCCCTCAAAGAACTCCCATCCTCTCATGCAGGGGTTACCATACTAGGCATGAAAATCATCTGTGGAACTCTTTAAAATGAAGGTCCCCGGCTCCATCACCCCTATGAGACACACACACACACACACACACACACACACACACATTCTCTCTTACACACAGGCATGCATGCATGCACACAGATTCTGCTTCAGGTGGGATAGGAAGAGGCCTGAAACTGAATGTTAAGTTCCTGGTGATTTCTCCCCACCCATTAAAAAGTATCACTTGGATCCCTTTTCTGGATCTCACAACTAACAGCTAAAGTGGATGACAGGCTGCTTTTGCTTCCTTTCCTTAGTATCCCCCACTGAAGAGTTAAGCTCAGCTGTGTGCTCAGGGCAAATCCAATCCTGGCATCCACATCGTGTTATAGCATATAAAGAGGCCTTAAAATTAAGTATGAAGAGAAACAGGGCAGCTTGTGAACCAACCGCTCCGCCCTGTACACTTTGCTCACAAAATAAAATAGCTCCAACCACCAAGTCCCAGGGCTGAGCTGAACAACCCGCCCCCGGCTCCCACACACACATAAAATGCCCTTAAAGATGTCATTTTCAGGGCTAAAGTCTTCTACTCTGTAACCCAAGTCCTTTCCTCCTCTCTACCGCCCCCAGCCCTCCTCTGCTCACCGAAGGTCACTGCCTCCATAAGTCTCCTTGGGCTTCTTCCTCCTGTCTTGCTGGTATCTTATCAGGCAGAATGTAGTGACCGACAGGAGCAGCACACCCAGGAGCACCCCGATCAACGCCCCAGCCACTCGGCCTTTGGAAGGGTCTAAAAAGACACAGGATCCCCAGAGCTGCACACCTTGCTTGGTTCCTCCTCAGAGAGCTTCATGCCGCCTCCCCAGCCCAACCCAGCCTCTGCCCGGCATCCCCTACCAGTCACAGAGAGGGTGAGGTCACAGGACGCACTGCCCATCTGGTTGGTGGCCACACAGCGGTAGGTGCCAGAAGAGGTCAGGGAGAGATTGGTGAGAATAAGCTGGCCAGACACCTCATCTGGAGGGGAAAGAAGAAATGTTCTGTGACTCATCAACTCACCCTGAGCATCTGTGAGGGACTCATCTCATTTTATCAGTGAGGAAACGAATTTGAACAAGGTGACCCAGGGAGGAAAGGCCAGAGCCACTGCAACTTCTGTCTTCTTTCCACCCTACCAGTTGCCTTTTCAGAGAAGGGGAACTGGCATATACACGAGGGATTCAGACAATGACAATGGTAACGGGGTGGGATGCTGCCTGGCTGATGTGTACCTGGTTGGGGAAAAAAGGCTTGATTGCTAGAAACTATATCCTCTGACCCAAATGCTTTTCTAAACCATTTACCTTCACTTTAGAAGACAGAGCACGCACCAGGAGGTGATGCACTTTGGATTAATAGAAGGTTTTGCTGGGGGAGGAGAGCCAGGCATGAGGAGGCTGAGAAGTCAAGATTCTTAGCCAGTTACATGGTTCCTCCAGAGAGACTGGCTGAATGATTCAAGCCAGTCCATGCCACTCTGCCTCATTCTCCTCTCTAGGATGTTAGGAAATGACTCATGATCCTTAAGAAATCTAAAAGAAATCCTGGGCCTCTCTGGTGGCTCAAGGGGTTAAGACACAACCTATGAAGGTATCCACAGTAGCCTCTGCAGCACCAGTTCGATACCCTGACTGGCCAGGGTGTCACCCACATGGTGCAGCAGACCTCTCCTGATTTGCCCGCTGTTCCACTCAGCAGTGTACTTCAGTCAGTCTGCCTGTTCTGTTCCCCACTCCATCTCTGGTGAATCCTCTCACCTTCCCCGCCCCCCACTCCTCTGGCCTGTACCCCAGCTCTTGTATGTATAAATAAATCAATCTTTAAAAAAAAAAAAGAAATCCCCCAAAACAGAGAAGTGGGAATCATAGAAGGCCCCTGCTTTCCACTCTCTTCCAGGCTATCAGAAATACATTTAGTTTATGAAATGCTCCCCAGATCACACAGCTCAGATTGTACAGGAAGTGAGATAGAAAGCCAAGGATGAAGGAATGGAGGGAGTATAGTAATGTCTCTCCTACCCGCAGGTAGGGAACTGGTACTATGGGTATGTGGAGTTTAGAAACCAGATTTGCCCAGGCCCTGAGTTCCCTCTTCTTTGATGCCCTTGCCCTTACCTTGCACCATGCTGCCAGGAGAAGGTGTCGGATATGATCCAAGGCGTTCCCAGTTGTACACAGGCCTGGGGGCACCCTCCAAAGAGCTGCACCTCAGAGCAGCAGAGCTTCCCACAGAAATTTCACCACTCTTACTGCACAAGGGACTACTGGGGGGCACTGCAAAAGTCATAGAAAATCATAACCTTCTAATGCCACCCCCACTAAGTGCTAGATTTCCTGCTTCAATACCCCACCAAATAGTGTTTCATCTCTGTTCACATATCACTTCATCCCCAAGAAATGGTTCCCACAATTTAAAATTCTGATGATTAGGAAACTTCCTTGCATTGAACCAAAATCTGTGTTAATATTCACCCATTGGTTCAACAACAACAATAACAAAATCCCCGTATGTTTACAATACTTGAAGTAGCATTGTTGAGAAGAGCTAAGACATGGGGCCTCCCTGGTGGCGCAGCGGTTGAGCGCTGGGTTGCGAAGCTGCCCGCCGCCTCTGCGGCGCCGGTTCGATCCCCGGCTGCTCCCCGGCCACTGGAGGAGGGTCCCACATGGCGCGCAGACCTCTCCTGCCGCCCGCTGCTCCCCTCAGCAGTGTACTTCGGTCCTTCTGCCTGCTCTGCTCCCCGCTCTGGCTCTGGTGAATTCTCTCACCCTCCCGCGCTTCTGACTGTACCCAGTGCATGTATAAACAAATAAATAAATAAATAAAACATGCCTCTATTAAAAAAAAAAAAATTAAAAAAAAAAAAAAAAGAAGAGCTAAGACATGGAAGCAGCTTAACTCTCCTTCAATGAATGAATGAATGGATCAAAAAGATGTGGTACACATATATACCAGGGAATATTTCATAGCCACAGAAAGGATGAATTGCAGCCATTTTAAACAAAATGGAGGAAATTTGAAAAAATGCTAAGTCAGAACAATAAAAAAATTTTTGAACCTTCATACAACAGACAATTTGATTTCAAACACTTTCAAAAACTACTGGATATCAACCAACATCCTCAGGGCTCTGAGGTTAAGAAAAAGGTTAGGAGGTCAGAGGGAGAAGAGCACAAGGGGACATAGGGGATGGTGGTAGGTGAAAAAAATTTAAATTCACACATTGGTCCCAATTTTTCCCTTCTGGGTCCACAAAGAGAAATGAAAAATATCTCTTCCACAGACGGCCCTTCAGATATTTGAATGCTGCTATCATACACCACCTCCCAATCTTCTCTTTCTCATCTGAACACCCCATTCTCTTTGGTTGTTTCTTGCGCAGGCTCATCTGTGAGCAGGAAGCTATGAATTCAGAGTTGTGCTTGGCGATGGGGCCTTTTTCCCTTTAACAGCCACTCCCCTTCTGTGCCTGATGACCAGGGAGGGTTGGAATCTGAGCTACAAAGGGGAGGTTCTCCCCAAAGATGGAGCTCTTGGGGTCATGACTCAGATCTCTATATATGGGAAGAGCTTTCTTTCTGGCACCCTTTGTTAAAAGGGACTGAGGGAGGAAGCTTCTCAGTAATGGGTGGAGCAGGAGTATGACCATGTAGATTACAAGACTTTGGGAAGGAAGTATTTTCCCTTGGGGTCTCCATTGCAGTTGTGTGCTTAGGCTGGAGATCATTAAATGGCGGGATTTAGTAGGGCGAGCACAATCTTTCAGGGGACCTGGGTAGCTGGTGGGGTCCCAGCCTGCCTTACCCAGCACAGTAAGGTTGATCAGCCCCAACCCATTGGTGTAGAAATCTGGTGGGTTGTTAACTTGGCAGAGGTAGGTTCCAGTATCTGAGGGTTGGACATTGGTCAGTTTCAGGGTGGCCACCCCTCCTGTAGGGGGGTTCTGAAGAAGGCTGGCCCTTTTTGCCTTAGAACCAGTTGGATACAGGTTGCCATTGGTGAAGTACAGGATCTGGAGAGAAGCAGAAGATACAGGTGTCCTTTTTCTATCAACTCTGGTCCTATTTCCAAAGTGGTAGAAGAGATTCCTCCCTCCCAAGCCAGGAAGGCTGATACTTTATAGCCAGTCCCCAAATATTCCCCAGGTGCTAAATGAAGTGGTGCAAAATGAACTTGTGCCCAACCAAGTGTGGGTCCCTCAATTTGGAGGAGAAATTAATGCAATGAAGCAGTCAGTATATTATCCTACCAGCAATCACCATAGTTTAGCACCCGGGGGTTTATTATGTGAAACTGGGACTGAGCTACCAGAAGGGAGTTGAATATAGGAACTATGGGAGAGAAACTTGGATATACAGAATTATATTTGTGATCTAGGATCACACACATACTGTCTTCAGATGTCTAGAAAGAGTCCACTTACCTTTTCATCCAAGCATAGAGACCCCCAAACACACCCCTCCTGACCCAGTGCCCTTACATTCATGGACCTTCTCTTCCTGCCTCTCAACAGTCAGGAGGGCCCCCACCCGCCCCCGCCACCTTGGGCATACTTGCTCACTGGAAGGGATGCAGAAATGGGCTTCCCAAGCTGCACAAAGCTCCACTCCAGGGCGAAGCTGTTTCCCACCAATGTGCTGTAGCTGCAGCTCAGCTCCGTTGTCTGGCCCACTGGCGTGCTCACGGGCTCGGCTGGCACCTTCACCTCCACGGCTAGCAGGGGAGCTAGGGACACAGGGAGGCCAGCAGGAGTAGTGCTCAGGCCAGGCCTGGAGTGTCAGGGACCAGGGTGGAAGCGGAAGCTGGCCCTAAAGCTGGTTGTCTGTAGGGCCTGGCCCACTCGACAACTTCCACAAACAAGGTGGGGGCTCCTTCCCTCCCCAGAGGTCCAGTGTCCCCTCAGTTCCTCCCTTTTAAAAACCTGAGGTTTCTGAGAGGGAGGAGCCTGCAGTTAGGCCAGGATTTTGTGGGTAAAAGGACAAGACTGGGCCAGGTATGAGGGTGTGTTAGTAGGGGAGGGGAAACAATAGGCCTGTGGTGGTTAAACCCTCCTCCGGCTGAAGAGGCCCAACAGGCTTGCTGGCTTGCGTGCCAGTCTCTTCCACCCTCCTGACCTTCCTTCGAGGGGCCCCTCCTGGACCTCGCCCCAGCTACCTTTCTAGCCCCTGTGCTTGCGGCAGCCCCAGACTGCCAAGCAGAACTTAATGGACCCTGAGGGACGAAAGTAAGGCCTCTGCACCCTATGGCTCTACCATGGTCCCGCCCGCTCTCCCTGGACCCTCCTCACCACTCAGGCAGACGAGCAGCACCCCAAGGAGAAGAGGCCCCAGGAACTGGGCCATGGCCGTGTCCTGCTGTCTGTTGGTCCGTCTGTGGGTCTGGGGTAGGGAAGGCAGCACCCACAAGGCAGCTGCCTTGTGCTGGGCAGGAGCGAAACTGGCTATATCTCAGAGCAAACAAGGGGAGAGGCTGGTGCCCTCAGGTAGGAAATGCTCCTCCCTCCTCCAGGCCCAATTCTGGAATCATTCTAGTCCTATTCTTTTCTTCTGTTGTCTCCCCCCAATTTCTGAAGCTGGGAAAAGGCCCTGGGGAAAAGCCTGGACTTGGGTGGGGGGAAGGAAGGGAAAGAATCAAAACTGGAGCTCTGGAGGGAAAGTGACCTTGGAGGAAAAGTTGGGGGGTGGTGTTCTGAAAATCGGAGAGCTGGGAAATGACATCATCATTTGGGGGCCTCACTCTGTGCGCATGAGTCTCAGGCCCAGACCCTTTCTGACCCTTCTGCGATTGTTGTTCCTTCCAAGGCCCTCTTCTTTTCTTTTCTCTGTTGAGATCCCTTCTTTGACACTTTTATGGCCATGTACTGAAGTAGTAGTCTCCATGGAAACTGCAATGGGCTCCCGCTGCCAGAGCCACTCCACTGTATGGGAGGGAAACTGAGACTTGGAGGAGCGCCCACCCGAGGTAGGAAAGGGTATCTCAGAATTGGGAGACCCTCTCCGTCTATGCCCAGCTCTCTCTCAGTGCAAAGGTGAGTGCTGCTGGCTGGGCAAAATGTGCCTGTTAAGAATTCAGTGGTCTGGGAGGGCGGGCAAAGTCAGACTGCTCTCCCCAGCCCTTGAGAGGAAGCAGGAGATCAATTGCATGCATGAAATTCAAGCCCTGAGCACTCAAGCTCCAGCAGGAAAGGCACCAATTTCTTCCGCTTGGTGTTTAGAGTGGGTCAGGGTCTTCTCAGCTCAGGCTTCTGTTCCTCTCCTTTATCACCTGACAGGGAATGACCCTTTTAAAGACACCCTTTTGAAGAGATATCCTGAGCCAAAAAGCCAGCGGCCATGTGGAGGAGCCCTCCTGTACGCAGTCTGGGTAGGGTTCCTCTTTGCATCCTGGCAAAGCTCAACTTCTAGGAATTATAAGTTTGAAAAGACGATTTGACTCTTCCATACAAACACAATGCATTGTTTATTGAAATTTGTAAAATAAAAACAAAACACATTTCAAGTTAGTTTAAAAAATATCTCCCCTATTCCCTACCCCAACAAAACCCAACCAAGCCAGCAGGACAGGTTACATTCGTGTGGGGAGCTGGAGTGGGAGTGAAGGACGGTGTTAGGAAGGGGTGAGGTACAGATGGAGGGGGCCTGGAGGACTCATTGCCTGGCAGTTCCCACCAGGGCCCTAGGGGGAGCCAACCTCAGCAACATTTGCTGCAGGCTTAGGGAGGCCTAGGGAAGGGGGAAGACTCTTCCTAATTCCAGGTCCACTCCCTCTTCTCTTTCTACCTCCTGGAAACTTGGGTCTTGGCCGAAATTCAGTTTTCCCATAATAAAGAACAGTAAGAGCAGAGGAGCAAAGTCTGGAAGGTGGCCACACTCCCAAGACTCAGGCCTCTGTGCTAGGGGTGACCCCTAGAGGAAGGAGAGAAACCCAACGTCTGAGCCAGTGAGTGACTAGACTGTCATACCAGAGACCCAGCCTGACTCTGGGCAGGCACCATCACGGGGACTCCTCCCATGCGGCTCAGAGCAGAGGAAGAAACCCCCCCAGGATTGGGGGATATTGGTCGAGGGTGGGCCCCATCTGTCCTGGTCAGCCGTGGTGAAGGTAGGACTTGACTGGAGAGGCTGGCTGTGGGGGTCAATGCACCAGGCCTGGGAGGGCCTTGGGGTGGCCGGAGGGCTCGAGCCGAGGTGACAGAAGAAAGGGTCCCATTCTTGGAGATTGTGTCTGAGCCTTTGGGCCAGGGCAGGGTCCGGGGAGCAACTGCATCCTCCCTAGTCATCAAAGAAGTGATGAGAGGTCAGAAGTTGGCAGGGGTGGGGAGAATTTCTACTGGCTTTACCTCTCTTCCCATCTCCCTCTTCAGCTTCGACTCTCCTCTTTCTGAAAATCTGCTCATAGGAAGGAGATCTCAGCCTCTGCCCAGCTTTTCAGAGAAGAGCTCTGCCTGAATGCCCAGCCTGTGTGGGACTTGACACCAGGAACACTTACTTGATGTCATTGGCCCGTTCTTCTAGGGCCTTGCCCCGGCGGCGTTGGTACAAGAGGACCAGGCCAGCCAGCAGCCCCAAGCCAAGCAGGGTGCCCACAACAGCTCCAGCAACCACTGCAGCTCCAGGCCCTGGAAAAGCTGGATGTCAGAGGGGATGCCCACTATTCCCCGCCCCTCCCAGACCCACCACCCCACTGCCACCATACACATTTTCTTCCTTTCCCTGCGAAGAAGAGAAGTGGTGGTGGAGCAGAAAATGGTTAGTCACCAACCAAACTTTTAGCCAGAACAAGCGCCTGGTCCTGTTACAAAGAGGCCTCAGCAGACAGGCCTTCTCCTCTCTCTGACAACCCCACCCCCATCATTGAAAGATCTTCTTCTTAACCACACTTACCCCTCACTGACCTGTGCTCACTTCCAGGGTCACATTGCACTGGGCACTCCCCACATCATTGTGGGCCTTGCAGATATAGACTCCAGACATGGAAGTGGAAAGGTTTGTGAGGTTTAAAGACCCCCGGAAGGCATCTGTGGACACAATTTAGCTGTCAGTCCAGAAACTCTATTTCTCCCTTCTCTTCCCCCCAAAACCCTGCCTTTCCTCTGAGATGTCCTTGTTGGCATGCCAGGGACTTAGTTGTCTGCTCCCTGATGGAGGGGAAGGGATTGACAGCCAGCAAGCTGGGTTCTGCTCCCAGCTGCACAGCACAGCACAGCTACCAGTCTCCATTTCCACCACTCAGGGCATATGATATCTGAGAGCAGGCTAAACATGAAGAGACCCCAGAAAGAAACAAAATTTATTTCTGAATAGCAGTGTGGTGAGAGACAACAGATATTAAGCTAGGGATTAGAAATCTTGAGTTCCTAAATAAGCCATATGGCTTTAAATGAGCTGCTTGCTAGCCCGGAGCCACAATTTCTCCATCTGTAAAATGGGAGCGATATGGTCTGTTTGATACTGTTGAAAGGAATATATGAAATCATCATTAAAACAATTAAAGCTTATTAGCTGCTTACTCTTGCCAAAGACTAAGTTGCTTGCATGCACTCCCTTATAAAAGTATCACAACAAACTTGAAAAAAAATTAAAACTTTCATTATAAAATTGGGCAAAATTGGGCCTCCCCGGTGGCGCAGCGGTTGAGCGCTGGGTTGCGAAGCTGCCCGCAGCCTCTGCAGCGCTGGTTCGATCCCTGGCTGCTCCCCGGCCACTGGAGGAGGGTCCCACATGGCGCGCAGACCTCTCCTGCCGCCCGCTGCTCCCCTCAGCAGTGTACTTCGGTCCTTCTGCCTGCTCTGCTCCCCGCTCTGGCTCTGGTGAATTCTCTCACCCTCCCGCACTTCTGACTGTACCCGGTGCTTGTATAAATATAAATAAATAAACAAATAAATAAAAAATATTAAAAATAAATAAATAAATAATTATTAAAAAAAAATAAAATTGGGCAAAATTAAAATGCACATACAACCTAGAGTCAACAATGGCAAGCCTATCGCTATACTTATTTCTTCTCTTTCAAAGACATTTTTGAAATTTTTGAAATGATTTATTTTTTGCATAAAAGAACTGGAGTGTAGACTAAAGGTAGAGGGGTGAGAGGATTCACCAGAGACCGAGTGGAGAGCAGAACAGGCGGATTTATTGAAACACACTGCTAAGGGGGCATTGGTTGAGACAGGAGAAGTCTGCTGTGCCATTTGGGTTAGCTCCCTGGCTGGGGATAGAACTCAGGCCAGTAGGGTGATAGTGAGGGCACTGAGACTTAACCCCTAGGCCACCAGGGAAGCCACTCTTTGGAGAAATTTTAAAATAAATACTTCATCATGAATCTGAAAAAAATAAGGCCATTGTCCCACATAGCCACAACACCATGGCGACATCTGATAAATTAGTAACAACTCCCTAAAAGCATCTAATCCACCACATTAAAAATGTTCCAGTTGCGCCCAAATGTCTTTATAGCTGATATGTTCAAATCAGAGCTCTTGATATCCCTGCTTTGCAAAAGAGGAGATGAAGGCACAAGGTCCACAGCTAGTGAGTGGTCCAGCCAATTTAGAAAGCAGCACTCAACACAGCCTCACATACTGCATGGACTCTCTTCCACCACTCTGCTCCCCACATTCTCTTCTCCTCATCCCCAGTATTTTTCAGCATTGCTTCCCCTTTTCACCTCAGTTGCTCTGGTACCTCTCATCTTCCCTCACCCCAGCCACAGTATCCAGATCTCCAGAAGTTCCCTCACCTAACACTGGTGGAAAGAAAACCTGGGAGGATGGTGGTGCTCGCTTCCACTGGTATTGGGCAGTAGGCTTACTCCTTGGGGACCGGCAGCTCAGGGTCACATTGGTCCCCACATGGGGCACACCCAGGACATGGCAGGATGGAGGAGCTGGAGGAACTGGGAGATTAGAAACAGGTTAAAAACTCACACCCAAAGGAATAGCAAGACTCCTCCCTCGCCCCAGACCCTTCTGTCACCCATGGACCTGTCCTCCAACCCTTCCACTGAGCCCTTTGGGATCGAGGCCTGCCTTATCTCCCCACAGGGTGCCAGCTGTTGGAAAATGTGGGCTTCTCACTTACCCAGCACATTGAGTTCTAAAGTTTGACTGTTGCGGTGGTGGGCTTTGCCTTCACTGTCTCGCACATTCACAGAACAATAGTAGGACCCGGAATCTCTCTCTCGGAGGCCCTGCAGCTTCAGGGATATGTTCTGGGAGGGCATGGAGTGGACCAGGGATACTCCAGATTTGCTTACGGTGGCCCCACGGATATACGCCAACACCTGCTATGGCAGATCACCCCCACCCCATTATTAGCATGTGCACTGTGCCCAGGGGCTCAGCTCACCCCCTCCTGCAACTGGCAGTCTTCAAATATAGCTCACCTGCAGTCCTTCTATCCCACCTGCACCAGCTCCCCAGACACCCCCTATCTCCCTAGCCACCCTCTGAGCACCCTTGGGTCCTCTTCACCAGAAAAGTCTATTTGTCTCTGATTTATCTCATCTTCCACTTGGGGCAGAGGTGAGGAGTGATGTATCAAAGAAAACTAAAGTTGTAGGGTAGATCCAGGTTTGATAGGATCTGAACTTACAGAAATGGGAAAGGCGTGTGTGGAGGGGAGGCATCTTCAGGAAAAAGAAGACCAAAAAAAAAAAAATTAAAAAAAAAAAAAGCAAATGACCTGGAGAATATACTCTCAGAGGCCTTGGAAGCTGCTCAAGCAAATAAGGGGCTCCAAAAATGGTTTCATTTACTCCTGGGTAAATCCGTTTCTGAGGAGAAGTGTGAGGGAGGATGGGGGGAGACAATGGAGACTACCCCTTATTCCTCAAAAGAATATAGATGGGGCAGCAGAACCAATTAATAATCATTTGGGAAGAGAAGTGCCCTGTTCCCGTACCCAAAGCACAGAGTATGCAAACAGAAAAGATGCTCATGTTTTCAAATCTTTCTTACTTGCCTTAACTGCCCCCTCCCAACAACCCCCAGACCTCACTTCACTATCCCTTACTTCTCATTTTGTGTGCTGGATTTCTAGGGGAAACAGAAATTCTTATAAAAGCCTCAACATCAGAACAAAAATTGAAATGGTGAAGAAGACCTTGCTTTTCCCGGAAATCCTTCCCGGCCCCAGATTCCCCAGCCATCCCTCCCCCATTGCCAGCTTCTCTTTAATGCCCCCCAGCCCCCATCCATGCACCCACCAGCTGCAACTGGCCTCTGGCCAAGATGCTTTCCTCCCTCACCTGTTCCTGATCCTTCCCTTTCTGCTGCAAGTACCAAATCGCAGAGAGCACTTCCCCCGACTGGGAGGAAGTCTCCTCCACATGCAGGGTGTACCACGTCGGGAGCACCACGTCTCCTCCTTCCACCACCTGCAACTTGGTGAGGCCAAATGGCACGTGCAGCTGCAGCTGGGCCCAGGAGGGGAATGCTGGGGACGAGAAGGAATGAACTGAGCGCGGAGGGCTGGCCCCGCCCCACCTTTGGGCCCTGCCCAGTGAGGCTGCAAGAGGGGGTCGCCAATTTCCTGAGGACAGGAAGCTCGAAGCTCTCTTGGGTCCGCCACTGGATCCTTGAAGACTGACTAAGGACGCTCACTTAGTGCCGTGCTTTGAATTTCATCAGCACTTATTCTCCCCAAGCAGGATTGGGGCACATTTTTATGCATTTCATTTGTGTCAGGAGCTGCAGATTTCCTAGGACTGCGAAGAGGGGGCAGATGCCCGCGAGGAGGGGAAAGACTTCCAAGAAGAAGGGAAAACTTAATACTTTTGAACTACAGCCTATGTAGCCCAGTTGATACCCCAACTTTCCCTGGGGGCAGCCAAGGGAGAGCAGCCAGGCTGTTCAGGATGGCAGGGATTTCTCCGGTTTTGCAGCCCATGAGTGGAGGGGGTGGAGAGGCTGTAGGTTAACCATTAACCCCGCGGTTCCTTCTGAACTGCCAGGAGCTGCCCAGCGCCCAATCTAGCCCCAAAACTGTAATGTTCCCCAGGTTTCCCCTCCCGCACGAGGGCTTCCCCAGCAAAGGGGAGAGTTAAGACCCAGGCAGGTCCCAAGATCCCTTTTGGGCCCAATCCATCTAGATGGGTCTTATGAGCTGACAAAGAATGGTGGCAGAACTGGGAATGACTAAAGGTTCCCTTCCAATCTAGAACAGAGCTTATATCTGCATGTGTGCGTTATGGTGGGGGGTAGTTGTTCAGAAAGTGAGCTGGGGTGCTGGTGTCAAGGAGAGGACTATCCAATCAGGGCTTCCAGAAACACTCACTTTTTGCCCTCCAAAGAAGCAATAGAGGGCCCCCCTGGTGGTGACAGGGGTTAAGCATAGCACTATGAAGCTATCTGCAGCCTCTGCAGCACAAGTTCGATCCAGGGGCCAGAGAGCTACCCACATGGCACAGCAGACCTCTCCTGACTCACCCGCTGCTCCCCTCAGCAGTGTATTTCAGTCAGTCTGCCTGTTCTGTTCCCCACTCTGTCTCTGGTGAATCCTCTTACCATCCCCACACCTCTGGCTTGTACCCCAGTTCTTATATGCATAAATAAATCTAAAAAAAAAGAAGAAGCAATAGAGCAGCCCAGTTTTAGGCTCTTTGGGCCAATAACCTTGAGCATGTACCCTGCTGGGCCTGAGATGCTGGCCATCAAATCCTTGGCCCTGCTCTCCCCTGGTCTTAGCCCTCTGCACTGAGGTCTGAGATGCCACTTCTGGTGGTGACCAAGAGGCCTCGGACAGGCCAGACTCTCAACCCTCCTAGCTCTGGGAAGAAGGCCTCTAAGGCCCAGGAGCCCATCCCTCCAGGATGCACACCACCCCCACTGCTTCCCCCTGCACGTCTTTATAGAACCCCCACCCCTATTCCTTGGCCTTTGCAGCAACCCCCTTCTGTTTCCTGACAGATCCCTGTGGGCTGGGCAGGAAACTTGTGCCCAGTGATAAGCCAGAAGACAATGACAGGGAAGGGGGGCTGCTTGGACCGGAGGTTCTACAGGCCAAAACAACCTCGGCCTCAAGGAGCCGGACACCCCCTGGGGACCCAGCCAGCTTGTCATTCAGTCCAGCCTAGGGATGCCAGGACTGCAGGCGGTGCCTGCTCCTCCTGGCCTTTCAGCAACACACTCCCCGGCAGCCAGCTGCAGCTCCTGTAGAGACAACTCTGGGTCCCAGGAAGGGCAAAAGCTTCCTTGGCATAGGTGCCTCCAGTGACCTCCCCGAGGTCCCACATTATAACTTCACTTTGCAAAATGTAGAAGGGGCTGGAACAGATAGTGATGGACACCCTAAGGCCTGGGTAAAAACTCCTAGTTCTGTGCCCTGAGGTCTAGAAGCTGAAGAGCCTAGGGGTCAGCTGGAACAGAAGTTCCCCTTCACCCCCCTCCCAGACTCTTCCTTTTTTCCTCCCAGCATCCACAGTTCCCTGGGGTGGGGCGTTAGGCCAGAGTGAAGGAGACAGGAGCAGTCAAAGAAAAGGATCCTTCTGGCCCACTCTGAGACTACAGCGAGGGAGCAGGCGAGGGCCAGAGTAGAATGAAAATGGCCTTCTCCCCAGGGCTACTATTTTTAGTCTCCCTGGTTCTCTGAGAAACTCCCCCTGAGGACTTCTCACGCCCCAGGGGCAGCAGTGCTGAGCAGAGCCTAGCTGAGAGCCCAGTCCTGCGCAGCCCAGTGCCTGCCTAAGTCCGCGGGTCCCTAGTGCCATTTAACCGATGAATGACCGGCAGGAGCTTGGCAACTCCTGGGGGTGGCCCCCTAGACTGAGTCGGGCTGTCCACAGGAAAACTGAGGCTAGAAAACGAAAGGGTTGCAGAAGAGCCTCAGAGGATGTCCAGGCAGCAAGCTTGAATTTTTCTCTCTTGCTTAGGAGACCTCCAACAGGCAGAGGGATGGGATCCTTGGGGGTAGACTACAAGAGGGAATGAGCTGCAGAGGTTGAAATTGGGAGAGGAGCCTGAGAGGTAGAGGGGTCCAGGAGCAGGCCCACCAGGCCTAGAGGGGCAGGAAGCTGACCAGGCAGATGGCGGATGCTCGAGCTCCCCTTTCTGTGGGGACTCTAACACTTGCAGCGCAGACCTCGTTAAAGGGGGCACAGGTGAGGGCCTCCCCGGTGGCGCAGTGGTTGAGCGCGGGGTTGCGAAGCTGCCTGCAGCCGCTGCAGTGCCGGTTCGATCTCCGGGCTCCAGCAAGGGTCCCACATGGCGCACAGACCTCTCCTGACGCGCCCACTGCTCCCCTCAGCAGTGTATTTCGTCAGTCTGTCTGTTCTGCTCCCCGCTCTGGCTCTGGTGAATTCTCTCACCCTCCTGTGCTTCTGACTGTACCCAGTGCTTGTATAAATAAAATCTTTTAAAAAAAAGGGGGGGCACAGGTGAGAGTAGGGTGAGTTGGGAGTCCCCATCACTGAGGCTGAATTCCACTCTACATCTTCCCAATCTTACTTGCCCTGACCACTTCCATCCAGAGAGAAATGAGACCTTAAAGCTGACTTCACCACACCCACCCTTCACCCCTGCATGGGATCCTTGAGGAGGGATGCCAAGAGGACCTGGGAGGCAGCCAGTGAAACCTCCTATAATGGGCTTAGTTCCTGATGGGCCCTTTTCTCCCCAGATGTTGCACTGGCCCACGCCAGGTTCCCGGGTGCTCCCGGGAGGCCTCAACACTCCTCAAGCACTTGCTCCAAGAAGGTTTCCTTCCCCAGTGACTCTTTCAGATCCTCTACTCTATTTCCTTTGTCCCTTAGGCTCTGGAAACCAATAGGGGGCGGTAGACCTCTGGGGGGCTGGGGGGTCACAATTCTCCAGGCATTTGAACTCTTCCTTCATTTCCTGTGTCCCAAATGACCTCACGGTCAAGCTTTGGGGCACCTCCCTTGATTCCCAGGGCAGGAAGCAAGAAGGGGAAAGAGGGAGGATCTGGCTTGAGGAATTGAAGTACTTAAGTGAAGCCAGGGAGCCAGGGGATTCCTTGGGGGACTCTTGATGAACAGCTCGAGTGTGGGGTGGGGAGACAGAGGGGACAGAGTTAGGTCCTTAAGCTCTTGAGCCAGTGTCTCATCTAGCAGCTCAGCTCTTCAGGCTCTTCTGGGTAGAAGGTGGGGAGTGAGGGTGAGCAGTGTTTTCGATGACTAACTCTAGGGGTATCCAGGTTTACCCAGGCGATGCCCGAGACCCCCAGCACACACTCCCGCCCGCGACCCGGGAGGGGACCCCACACAGCGGAGTCAGCCTCAGGGATGCCCTGGTGGGGGAGGGGCGGGAAAGGGAGGCAAATTGCCGGGTGCCACAAAGTTCCTCACCAGTCCTCCGAATCACCTGCAGGGATCAGATTCGCACGATTCACACACACCCCTCACAGCACCCCCACCCATCTCAAGCCCCCCCCCTCCTGGTCCCAGGTTCCACTCACCGAGGGTGCTTAGCCCCAGGAAAAATAACCGCACCAAGTGGGTCGCAGGGGGCCGGGGTAGGAGAACCATGGCCCTCCCGGGCCCCGCCGGAACCAGGGGCGCCCGCTCCAGGACACAGGACCCGCAGGTGCCGGGTGCGCGACCGCGGGAGCGGGCCACTGGCACCAAGGGCGGCCCCAGACAGTCTGTGCGTGTGTGTGCCGGTGGCGGGGTGGGGACCGGCAGGGACAGCGGGGCGGGGCATCAAGGGGGCGGAGAGGTCGCCCGGGCGGGGCGCGGGGGTGACAGGCCGCGGGGAGGCGCACCTGGCGCTGCGACGGCCGAAGCGAGGGCCGCCCCGGGGCCCGGACGCCGGGTGGGCTCGGGTGAGTGGTGGGGCCCGCCCCGGCCGGCTGGGGACGAGAGGAATAGAGGTCCTGAGCCCGCCCGGCTTGGGGGGAGGGCGGACTAAAAGGGGGGGATTTGGGGATCATCGATTGCCCAGGAGCCACGCGCATTCTTTACACGGTCAAAGGTCCAAGGCTCCAACTCTTCGGCCCCGAACTCGGGGGGAGCCGCGTCCTCAGCCGAGGCTGGAGGCCTTCCTGGAGGAGGAAGCGCGGAGTCGCTTTGTCCCGGGGCTCCCCGGGGGCGGGGTGCAGCGGCAGCAAGTGGCCCCCGTGCCGGCAGCTTGGGTCGGGTTCTGCGGCCCCAAACCACCGCTCTCCCAAAGGCCCGGCCTCGGAGCAGGAGTGAGGCTCGCGGTGGGGAAGGGGGGGTCGCGCCTGCAGCCCGAGCCTTCCCTGGAGGAGGCCCAGGGCATCGCCGGGAAGAGGTGGACGCGGGGACCAGCCTCGCTCGGCGTCTCCCTAAAACACAATCCCCACGGTCACTGGGGTCTGTTGTCTCAAATCCCAAACTGGAAAAAGACCGGAGCGAGGACGCCCCGGGAGCTGAGCGGGAACCAGCGAAAGCACGAGCCGGGTCCCTGGCTCCTCTGCTGTGAAGGGGTTTACAGGCTTTGCATTGGCGGGGGAGGATGGGCCGCACGGGAAGGTAGCTGGGATAGAGCCCCTCCTTTAATTTAGCCCCTGCTCCTTCGCATCTTCCCTTCGCGTCCCAGGACCAGCGCTTGTTCGCCGTGGATTTAATTTCACCCCCTCCCCCAACCATTAGGGCCCAGGCACCTGGGCGCCCCCTGGCGGCCGCAGCTTCCTCCCAGCGGGCACGCACCTGTCCTTGCTTCTGTCCAGCAGCCAAAGTAAAGATGCTTCAAACATCCGGGCACAGCTCAACCACCGAGCAAAGGTCACCGAGGGCAGAAAGCAGAACGACGAATTTCTGGCGCTGCCTGCTCTGGGTACCGGTTGACTGGGAAGAAAAGCAGCCAGGCCTCCTGGTTTCCACTTATTCCACAGTTCTGCTCTAACATTTGAGCGTGGTCCCTGGGCCTGCCCTGTACAAGGTCTTGCTCTACACTGTGCCTCACAGACCCTCGCAGCTGCTGCTTCCTCGTGTGACTTGCCTGACTGCTCTGCAAATACCTGCCATGCAGTGACTTTGGGAAATGCCAGTGCAAACATTAGGCTGCTCACACAACCCCTGGAATCTGATACTTGGCAGCTCAGGGGTAGCAAAGGCAACGAGGATAGATAACTGCCAGTCTCATACCCTTATGCACAGACCTACAAACTTGGTATTGTCAAGTAGATGGTGTATATGTGGGGGGGAGGCTGTTGGACCGGCATAACACACTCAAATTTTTCTTGCGTTCACATGATAAACCACCTTTTGTAAACCCCCTTGTTTCCAGGCCACCATGAAATCACACCAAACAAGTAACTCCTTCCAAGTAAAGCAGGACAAAGGCTCCTCGGTTGTACTCCAGGAACGCCAAAGCATGTCACTACAAGGCTGTGCTCATCCCTACCAAGTGCTACCTAATGTCCGGCTTCAACATTCACTTAGTTTTTCCTTCAGAATTTGGGCCCCAAATAAATTGTGGCATTGGAAGTAAAACTGTACCAAAGGTCTGTCAGCAGTGAATGTTTCCGTGTGACTCAGGGCCAGAACCTTCTGGATTCTCACTGTCCGCATGCCAGTCAGTTTTCCATACTATCTCCTCTTCCAATGACTTCTTTCTTCTGACTCTGGAGCCATCAGTGGTAGAAGTAGCAAAGCAGCTCCATTACTTTCTGAACGTTTTTGCCAAGATGCATTTTAGAGTGAACAATGCATAGCACCCTGTGTAAAAGGAGATCGTTGGTACAGATGAGCTGTGAGTGACCAAGGGACTGACTGCAGAAAGAGCTGAGTGCAGATTTAAGTTCTAGTCTCATGTTAAAAGACGTGCAGGTCATCAGTGTTTCTTTTGACCATAACATCTTAGCTCACGTGCTTTCTAATGCTGATTCTTTTCTTTGAACATGTCTACTCCATCCTCCTTGAATCATTTTTAAAACTTCACCAGAAGCCTATATAGTCCACTTTGGTTTTTAGCCATGCTCACAGTTACCTGACACCCTGCTGTGCTCTTTTCCAGATTGTTCTAGCCTGAGCCTAGATATTCAGTATCAGCAAGATACTTTCTTCCAAGCCTCCATTTCCCAATGTTTTACTCTTCAATCATCTCCAGTCAAGTGGTGAAAGTGAAACACATACTGGATCCATTCTTTGCCATCTCCTCCATGCTGCTCATAGTGATCTAGCAAGGCCTTATTGTCAGTAATGCTAGGTCGATCTAAAACACCCTCACTGCTCTGTCCAGCTTAGTAACTAGTGGGAAGAAAGTTATAGAAAAAAAATGCATGAAGCATAATATTACTTTTAGGGTTGGTCCATGGCTAAGTTTTGGTGGTGTTCCTGGTAATAAGGCTTTTTTTCTATATGAATACTCTGAGCTTATTGCTATGAGATGTCAGCTCAGTCACATTAGGATTAATTCTAAGTTCCAAAGAAGAGTAACTCATAGGAATTTTCTATGGTCCCTGCCTATAGGCTGTGCATGGAAAAAGAAGTGGTACATTCAAACACCCCTGAACATTTATACTCTCCCTAAATTAGAAACCATTTTTGGCAATTCACATCAGAAAATAGCTAACTCTATAAGCCTAGACTCAAGTGACAGTAGTTTTTTAGTCATTCCATTGATTATAAACTCTCCAGCCATTAGAAAAATAAACACGCATCAACTAACAAGGGATATCAGAATGAGAAAATCACTGATTTGAGTCCATTCAGTATGCAAGAAAGAAAAGAACATTTTATCCTTATCTTCAGCAATATAGAAAAACAGGGAGAATTATCTCTTGCCTGTACTTGCAGTTTGTTTAAAGTAGAGCACCTGAGTGGTGTTGGGGAATCATTAAATTAATGATTAAATACATTACCATTCTAACAAGTTCCTGCCATGAGACCAAAGTGATCCTTACTAGCCTACTAGTAAGCTAGTCTTGGCCAAAAGTACTAACCTCTATGAGCAGTGCTGGCTGACTCTTAGATGACTCTGAAAGATCTAAAGTTTACCGAGTTTACGACATTAAAGCTAGTTACCACTCCAATAAACTTATACCTTTATTATTTCCTAACCTATGGATCACTTTAAAAAATGTTTCTGGATGTTTCTATTGGATCTCCTCTTTCCTCTTCTTACAGACAGCATAATGGCATTGTTCTCCACGTGTCCTCTTTGAGAGAGTTGCCCCGATGACTGCGTGTAACCTAAGGCATAAAAGTCTCTTACAAATTCATATGCTAAAATCAGAAAGAATATCCTTGCTGTTTTTAAGAGAGAATTACAAACTGAAATATCCAGTGACCTTAGGTACTCTGGCAAGAAATGACATTGGTCAGGGGAACACAGAGAGTGAAAGTGAGGATACCCTGCTGTTTGTTCTGGGCATGCTCAGCAGTGGAGTCAGAGCACATCCCCTGCTGGTGCAGCCACACTCTGCTATAAAAAGCTCAGCTAGTACGCCAAGAGGTCAGGAATTACTTTAATATTCTTTTTTTTTTAAAAAAAAAAGTTTAAATGGCAACACAACTGTAAAGTTGGTACATCACAGAAACAAAGATCTTTGCAGGCAACACTGATTGGGAAGAGCAAAAACACTTGATGAAAAAAATGAAAGTCTAAATTATATACAATCGTAGCTAAGGGTGATATTGAAAAACAGTCTTATTTACTGTGACTCAAGATTTATCTTGCCATTGTCTATTGCTTATTTATTCAGGGTTGTAAATAATACTTATATAGAGACATAGAGATGTGTAAAAATGAAACATTGTGAAAAAAATACAATTTTTCAATTTCATATGAAACTCAAAGTATAAGTTTTGTCCAATATGGAATGTACCTACATTTGTTTATATTCGGGCTCTAAAATCCATTTAAAAATTGTTTTTTGTTTTTAAAAAAGAAACAGCTGACCCACCATGCAAGTCCGCTGGGTATCTTGCGTGCTCAAAATGAGCATTTCAGGTGAGGTCTGTGTTTTCTGCCCAAAGTGTACTATGATTCCTTAAAAGTTGTACTGGCCCGATTGAGGAAAGGTTTTCTATAAAGAGTTTGATGGCAGCGTCTGGATGAGGGACAGTCTGGGTCATGGAAGTGAGCAGAGGAGAGGGAGGTCAGAGCCCGAATCCTTATGAAGGATGACATTCAGTTGTTAAATTTTAAGGGGTATCCAATGGCTTTTTCCAGGCACTCAACTAAAGAGCCAGCGGAAAGAAAATCCCTCTCTACTTCTACAAATTTGATATAGATGGATTTGGGGGACACGCCGGGATCCACAATACAGTTCTGAGACAAAAACCCATTAATACCAACCCAGTCTTTGCTGAAGGTTTTGGTATTTGCTTGGAAATGTAAAAATAAACACTGCTGCAGAGTCCTGACCTCAGCAATCCCGAGGTAGCAATAGATAATTCGGGTGGGTTCCATTTCCACCTGTAATGAGGCTTGTGCTGAAAGGGTCTCCAAGTCAACCCGGCCCTCCTTTCCTGGGTCCAGGGAACGTCGCTCCATGTGGGGTGAGGGAGGCCTCTCAATACATTCTTCATAGCCAATGGCATAAAGGCCTGGGCTTTTGGGAATGCCTCCTGGCAATAAATACTGAACAACATTCCCACCAGTTGGTTTGGAGTGGGCGATAGGTATCCAGTCAATTTCCATGTGCAGCTCCAGGCA